TAAAACATCAGGGGAGTGCTCACAGCAGCTCTGGCCCCAGCACCCTGGTGAACCCTGTGGGGTGGCAGCCCCTGTTTTCCTGCAGAAGCAGGCTGGGCAACCACACAGCTTGGACAGAAATAAACTCACATTGTTTTGGGTTTTGCCACTGCCCCCTGCAGCTGAGCTGCTGGCTAAACATGGCCATGAGTGGCATCTCGGAACTTGTGAAAACTTGAGGACTGGAGGAAGCAAAGCTGACAGGCTGTACGTGTTCCCTGAGGCAGCTGAAGCCAGTGTGGCAGAGCTGTCCCTGTCCTCGGAACAACCTTGTCTTGGATGAGAGATCTCTCAGCAGCAACAAGAGCGCAGAAGGTGTTAATTGATCGTAGGCCTTCATTTGCACAGCAGTGGGGTCAGGCTGTAGATGTTATGAAGTTCCTGGAAGTTTGCTTCTGCTGCAGCAGTGTTTGTAGCTTAGTCCCTGAGCTTCCCAGGGCTTTTGCCACTGTGCAAGAGTAGCTCGCCCTTTCCTTGGTCAACTGTTGCACAAAACGTTTGCTGGAGTCTGCTGAATTAATAATTTACTCAACTGCTAATGCTGCAGACTAAATTTTGCTTATGATAAGACAGCCCATTAATGACAGAGGGTTTGAGTAAAGCTGGAAGTTTCCTGGTCCTGAGACAAGACTCTGGACTTGTCCATGTTGTTGTGCTTGGGGAGAGCATGAGGGTGGTGGGAGGTGGGGATCTGCAGGGCTGCGGCAAGTAGGGCTGAAGTTGCATCTAAAATAGCTGAACTGTGACATTTTCTCCTGACAGAAGTGGTAAGAGAGGCCACAGACACTTCCCTTCTGTGATTCAGAAACTTGCAAATCTTCTTTGATTCACACCTTATAAGTAAAATTAGCCTGTGCCTTGCTGTTGCCAAACCTTTTCAGAGCAAAGATATTTGTACAAAGGAATTCAGCAACAGAAATGGAATTCACTCGTGGATCAGATTACTGTTATTTCTGGCTGGAAGCAGCACCAGAAATACTTGCAGGGATTTCCACTTTGCCTTTGGAAAGATGCTGTGCGTATTGTTGATAGAAAAGGAGCTATTTGGGAGGATAATTCATATACATTAAGAGACTGGGAGGGAGATGAGCCTCACAAGGCTGTCACAGCCGTGAATACGAGTGTTTAGCTTTGCATTATAACATTCAGGCACTTTTGAAATGGGGATCTTCAGCTGTTGTTGTCGAGAATGTTGTGACGTGGGCTGCAATTGCTGCTGCTCAGGAGAAGATGTTTCCAGCCCAAAGTCTAAGCTTTCATTCAAAATGCAGCTCTCTGCTCTGATTATGTCCCAGTGTCCTAGAGAGTTGTGTTAGACACCTTCCTGTGCGTGGGGACTTGGCAGATAATACTTAATGAAGGGAAATATTTTGATGATGGTTGAAGCAGTGATTGTTTGTGACACTGGTGGATGTGATGTTACCTTAAAACATAAACTTACCCATCAGCTGGGAGTGTCAGTCAAAAAAAGTCTGGCATTTAAAATATATGCTGGTCACTGGTCTACATTTTGCAGCCAGCTCTAAGTAAAGCCTCAGTCTACTTGGCGATGCTGTCCTTGGGGGCAGAGATGTTGTCTGACCCTGGGCTCAGAGGCCGACAGCCCAAGAGCAGCTCAATGGGGGGAGCAGGATGCTGGGAGAGTTATGGGCTCCAGCACCATTGGCAGCGAGACATCATGTTACCTGCAGGTGCAGGGATGGAGCAGGCATCTCCAACAGCATTAGCTACCTGCGGTAGCCAAGACAGCTGTAAACTGTAGACTTTTAGTAAACAGATCTCTGATTGTTTGTAATACACACAGACGATGTTTAGAATAAAGTCAGAGTGCTCTGATCATAGCCCTAAAAGTTGCTAATAACGGTGGAATGAACAGATGTCTATAGTACCATATAGAAGGACATCCTTATTCCTGGCAAACTGAGAGTTTTAAAGCAAAAGAATATTAAAAGGTTTTACTTAAGAAAAAGTTAGGTATTTAATAGGTTGGAAATAGGCCTGGTTATATTACTTTACTCCAAAATAATATACGTGATATCTCTGAATGTCAAGTGAAGTCTTACTAAGCAACAATGTGCTTTTGAGGCCATTTTGGATATGTTTCTTCATCCTGCTGGATGGACTGTGCACAAAGAAGTATATCTCCATGGAGTGAATGTTTTGGTTCTTTGGAAATGCATGTGAAAGGGTTCAGCAACATATGGACTTGGTGTACCCCTGGGGATGACTGCGGGAGCCTGGGAACATTTCGTGCCTGCAGCAAGTGTAGGAAGGAGGAGGAGAGACGACCGACCAGCTGCAGTGAGCTGAATTACATGGCTGCTTGTACTAGGAGCAGGAGGAGCACTGGAGGGGCGCACCCGTGCTGGCCTGGCTGTGCAGGTAGGTCCTTACCACAGTTGAGGTGAAGAACAGGTCTTGTACAATGCTCCTTCCTATCTACATGTTGCCATGGGCAACACCTGGACCAGAGCGTGCAAATGAAATTACTGGCCAGACCAAAAGCAAGCTGGATGTGAGGAAAGAACTGGTTTGGAAACTCAGACCAAAAGCAAGCTGGATGTGAGGAAAGAACAGAAGAGGGACCAGTTTGGAAGCTCAACGCTGTCGATGATCAGAAGCTTCAGGTGCAAGTGGAGGCGGGAGCACCCTGTGGCTTTTCCAAATGTACTGCCACGAGGAGACGTATTTATGGATCAGAAACTCCAAACGTTGTACAGAACAACGAACTAAAAATAAAACTGTAGCAATCTTGCAGAAATTGCAGGTAAGCACACCACAGGCGTACACAGAGTACTTGCATTGGAAGCCTGCAAGAGTCTGTATGTTGCCATATACTTCACAGCAGGTCTTCAACACATTTTCCCCTCTCTGAGATAGAAACAGAGCAATTTCTTAGTTCTTCAGTGGTGTGACTTTGCAGCTGGAATGGCAATATGTTAGGAACTACAGGTCTCATTCTGGATCTTAAAGAACAACCCCCTCAACTTGTAAATAACATGTGCAATTAAATGGGGTGCCTTTTCCTCTGCCTAAAATGTGTGGGTCAGTAGATTTTGTTGCACACCTTAAAAGAAGATCTGATTTATTTACAAGATGTGCTCGGAGATCCTGGGCCTGATTTTCTCTCTGACACCCTGAACTGGTGTTTAGCAGGAGATGCTTTCGCTTCCTTAGTTGTTAATATTAGCATCTCCCTGTTTTGCCAGAAGCAGCAGCAGCAGCACAAGCCTGACATCGCTTCCAGACTTACCTGCATGTAGGACCAAGTGACACTGCACAACTGCATCTCACAATCAGGTCCCTGCTGCTCTCTTGCCCTGCAGCTGTGGACACCACAGTGGTGGCAAGGAAACGGGAAACTTGCCTAGATCTAGGCAAGACCCACTTCTTGAGAAGGAAGTAGTCTTGACAATAGTATTAATGTAAATCTATGCTCATTGTCTTTCAGGCTATATATTAACTAACTCTTTGTTATCATGTGAAGAACTAATTGCACGACGTTCAAGAACTACAGAAATCTGAATTTTTTTTCTTCAATATTCACGTAACTCCAGTGGACCAGAACTGCATCCCAAAAATATTGGTGCACAGAAAGGCAGTAACTTTTAGAGCTAGCAGATGAATGAAGTTCCTGCTGGAGAGAGAATGTGTAGCACTGAGCTAGCTGTCCTGCAGAGCAGTGGACTTGGAGTGGGAATCTCATCTCAGGCTTGGCAGCAGCACAGCTGATACGGATCTTCCAGCACACACCTAATGGGTGTGCTCACGAGTCTGCAGCCCTTCTCTCTGATTCTTGAATTCTCACTTTTGAAAGGCCTAAGTAAGTAAATAAATAGCTTTTTTCATCTCAAATGATGAGGCAAACTCAGCACTAATAACGTCTCTTTCAACTCCAGTGCACAGGAGATTCACCATGTAATTGACAGCATGACATCTCTTTGTGTCTGTCTTCTCTTTCCTCATCTTCTGTCGTTATCCTGCATGTGTTTTTATTTGCCCATTTCTAATGGGCTATATCTTGTATGTATTCCTGCACTGGTGATGGTTAATGATGATTCTCATGCCCCAGCATTGAATATAACATCCCATTTTTGTAAAATGATGGTGATTTGCAGACACACAATTTCCTTCCAGGTCTGTTCCTACCCCAGTAACTGCTGGGAAGGGCGAGAGCCCTGGCAGAGGTGTCAGACGGGCTCCCTGTGTGTGAGGTGTGCCAGCCTACCAGGGCTTTTCCTTGTGGAGCAGGGAGAAGCATGAATGGGAGCTGATCTTATGATTATTTTAGTCAAGAAAAATCAGGGCTATGAATTGCTGAACTGTCATCAATTTCAGTGACTGCAGAGCTCAATTAAGCCTCTAATTTTAGTTTCATGCTAATGATATTGTCAGATCTTTCTGTGAAGCAGGTGATGCAGTTTTAGACATTCCAGCTGCTTAGAGTGGATTGTCTGGTTCCTATAACCTGACAGTCAGCAGAAGTATCAGGACAGCATTTGGAAGTGCTTTAAAAAGGCCCTGGGTTTTTTACATTGGTTTTTTTACTGCCACCCTGCTGTCACCACCCTGCCACTGCCTTGCTGCTGTTCCACCATGACCCACGCAGGCATCAGCCCTGGTGAGGCACAGTCTCACCTCAGCCACGGCCAACCCCCCATTTGGCAAGAGATATAGGTTTGCTTAACACAATTATATTAGAGCTATCTAATTCACACATCTGAAACAGGGAGGCTGCCAATTTCAAGACACTATAGACATGTGCTGCTCTGTCCCCACACCTCTGAGTGGTGAGGAAGGATGCAAGTGTCCCTTGGTCTCTGCTGTGTGAGTCCTGGGACACACTGGGATGGAGGGTGTCAGAGCAAGGGACCACAGCAGATTCCGCTCCCTCCTGCTGCTGGTGTGGATCCAGCACAGCCTGGTGCTCTTCTGGGTGTAATGTGCTTTTCTCCGTGCAGCCCTGCTCCGGGTCACAGCACAGCCACGGCAGCGCACGAGCCCAGTCTGCTGAGATGCTGTCGACACTGCCAAGGGTGAGAATCTCCACTGTGACTCTGCTTCACGGCATCGCATCTGTTTGCAGGTATTTCTGCGTAGCTCTTGTCTCTCCTGTGTTATCACGCGTGGATCTTAAACTAGCATAAAAGCTCTGCCTGGTGGAGTAACCTGGGCCCTCTAGAAAAATCCAGGGCATGGTGGGTTTTAAAGCACAGTGGGGAGGTTTGTTCTTTTCTGGAAGATACTGAACGTGTAGATGGAAGCACGTAGAAGACAAGTGCCCAGCATCCCTGCCGAGAGCACTCAACACCTCCATCCATCAGAGCCGTGGGATGGGAAAAACTTCAAAAAAATGTAGAAGTTTATTTAAACCTAGTATTTAATGTTAGTGAGCTGGACCCACAGAGTAGGTTTTTTAACTTCAAAGACTGATTGCATTGAAATTCTGCTGACATAGACCAGCTGAGCTGTGTTTGCAGAGAAATGTTACTCTCCAGTGAAGTTGCAGGTAGGAACACAGCGTCACGTTAACTGTTAGCACTGGTTTCAGCTCCCCTGTTACACTGTCAGCCATCTCGGAAGATACACACACAGGCCAGAAGATAACACAAAGGAAACTAATCTTCCTGAAGTTTCAGAAATCTCTGCTGGCTTGTACTGTTTCTGAGATACGTCCAAGATGGTGGTCATGTATTGAGTCCTTACAGTTCCTCTTGAAGGTCTGATGGCTTTGTTTCCAGGAGAAAAGCCTATCTGAGTATTATTTGTGCTGGACTGAACTTCAAACAAAATTGCTGCTAGAAACTGACAGCAGACTATGTATGACTGCTAGTGGTATGTAACACAGCCCTGTCAGCGAATGGATAATCCTCCATCCTTAAATATACTTTCTATTTATGTTGGCAGTGTACAGACTTCTAGGGATTTTACCAGTTATCCCAGACATAACACTTCAAAAGCACCACTGAGGAAACATCTATGCAAATCTCTTTCTATTTCAAAACTTCTTAACTAAATAATGTGAGTGGGCAAATATGTTGCAGCTTGTTAGGGCTTAAAGTAGAAAAATGTTCAAAAGTAAAAGGAAAATATTTGGAGAGTGTTTTGTTACTATCACACAGTCCTGGAAATTGTCCCAACTGAAGGGATGTACCAATTGATCTTGCAGCTTAATTTTCCCTGGTTAATTTATTTTTCACATTTATCAGAATTCCGAGGTACCAAACCAACCCCCTTCCTAAGGTTTCTCTTGAACCAACAGCCTGCTCCTGCACAGCCCCTGTTCATGGAGCTGTTGCTGGCCTTAGGACACCAGCTCGGGATGGGGGTGCTGAAAGGAGACCCCGAGCTCCACTGCTGCTCGGGGAGCTGCTGAAAACAGCCCCTGAGTGCAGTCCTTGTGTGGCCAGAGAGCAGGACCTGATGAGCCCCGCCGAGGGCAGGATTTTCCATCTGCCCAACAATGGTATGCCGAGCTCTGCAGCCTTGGCTTGCTAAATATACTGCGTGTTGGAAGTGACCCGGTGGGATCACTATCCATCCTTGGCCCTGCCTGTATTAACAGGATTTTTTTTCTAATGCGCTGTGAACTTGATTCATGCTAGCAGGGTGCTAAGAAGGTAACTCACTCACTGCAGGCAAATTTCTTGCATTGTTGAGATCCACAGGGCTGCCGATTTCCTTTCTTGGGTGTAGATCAGCCTATTGTAACAGAAGTCCTTGTGCAGCACAGGGGACCCTCCACTCGCAGCCGCGGTCAAGCCATCCCACCAGCTGAGTAGCCCCAAGTGTGTTCTGACAGGGCTTGCAAAGGTTCACAGAGTGCTACACCAATGCCATTGTATTCATACATTCCTCAAATTTGGCCTCAAGTTCTTCTGGTTCTGGCGCTGCTACCCAAACACGCTGGAGAGCCGCATCTGTGCAAACACCGGCAGCAGAGTGTCAGGTTTCCTCCTCTTCCTCACAGTTGTTTTGCAAAAAGCAACTAATGGTGTTAGTGGAATCAGATGTTTTGTGAGTTTGGGGAAAGAGAGACCTGGTATTATACCCCCTCGGTTCTGTAATCGTTTATTGGACACTGTTTAGATTTTCTGTTGTTTGTGTTCTAAAGGAATCACCTTGAAATGAAATTACAGATGAATGAAATCAAGTGTCTGTCTCATGAGACATTTTATAATTTCCATTTGTTTTCATCTCAAAACCAAAGAAAATTTAAATTTTTTAATTTTTTTTTCTTTGGTGGGAATGGAACTGCAAACAAGAGTCAGGAATGTCTTCTTTATTTAAGTGAAACATTTTGACATTCCCAGACTCAATAGTGTTCAGTTTGTTGAACCAGCTTCAAAGTCAATTTCCACTTGAAGTCTTTTCCCTCTCAAAATGCATTTTTCAGCTAATACCTCAGGAACCTAAATCTCTCCAAGTGTCGGGCTCCCCAGGGAGAGGTCAGCAGCTCCCAGGGTGCGTTGAGCAGATTGGCCATTGGGACATCTGCCTTGCATTAGGGGAAACATGATCTTCCTGGAGGCTCTGCAGCTCTAACGCAGACTACGAGCAAGGAGATGGAGCGTAACGTTTGCTTGAGCTGACGCATAACAGCATTTCAGAATAAAGAAAAAAAAATATGCAGTGAAATATGTTGCTTCCATTTTCTGAGCAAAAAGATGAGCCTTTTACTGAAAAAAAAAAAAAAGAAAAGAAAAAGAAAAAAAGGATGTTTTTCCACACCATTTTGTAGAAACTGTTGAGGGTGCTGGGTCACTCAGTAACAGCAGGGTAGACTGCTGGTAACTGTACCAGAAAGTTACAGTGGAGGCTTCCTTGGGTTTTAACATCTGAATCCAGGGATCTGACTTTCTCTTACGCTGACTGGTGCGATCACTACAGGCCTGGCTGGAGTTAATTAAATTAAATGGGAAGCTTGCCAGAGACTCCAGTTATCTTGGTTCAGTCATTAGCACAAAAGCAGTGCAAGGATTAGCTGTTGTTTGCTGTCTCAGGTGTTAGTGGTGATACCAGCCAACAAGGTAAGGTCTCATCAGAAGCAGTACATTCTGGAAGAGACAGCAACCTTTCTGACTGATAACATATGTATCAATATTTTTAAATGCACGTATTGGAATAATTTTATTTTATTCCTCACTTTGAATAGTTTAATGTATTTCACATGTTCTCTCTTTTCAGTTGGCAACCTGCTCTTACATTTTATGGGGTTTTCCAAACCAATGAGGCAGATTTACTCATCTTTCTGACTGACAGCATTTCTGAAAGACACGCTTTCCAACCCTTCGTGGCTGGCTTCACCGGGCCCCTTGGAGAGCGGTGAGCGATGCGGGTGGTGAGTGATACAGCTGCCAGGCTGAGTCACTGGTCGGGAGCACTCGCTGGTGTCTCGTGAACTTTGCAGGGAGGGGAGGAAGGAGTTGGGCTTTTTGATTCTGAGGGGTAGTGCCTTGACAAGTAAAGAACACCAAATTTAACTATTTCCCGCAGATTTTAACTAGTGCACAAAAAGTGGGGTTTTGCTGTTTTGTGTTCTAGATGAGAGATTCTGGTCCTAAATGTCTGTACAATTACTGAGGAAGCAATGGGAAAAGCAACATCCTTGAGGGCCCCAAGAGACTTTCTAGCAAATCAAGGCAGACTTAACATTCCTTAAATACTTCTTAAACAAGGGGAGAAAAACCCAAACTTGTTTCTTCTCCTGCTCCCCAGCATTTCAGACTTTTGTTCTGCTTTATAAATAAGCAAAACAGGAAAAAAAGCAAATTTGTGAAGGATCACTTTGTGAAAGATTTCTTGCCTGGCACAGAGAAACCTGTCCTGAAGGTCTGCACATGTCCCTGCAGGGTCCCAGAGGGCAGAGCCAGCCATGGTACCCACATCCCACCTGCAGTGGTGCCTGCATCCCACCCACAGCAGTACCCACTCTCTGCATCCCATCTGGAAGTGAAGCACATCTGTGTTCTTGGGCTGGGGAGTGCTAATTAATGAGCAGAACCAATGACAACAGTACTGCATGAACTGCTGAACTTGAACGTTTCCCCCATCCAAGGTTTATGGGGGGGTGATTGCAGCTGGCCTGTAAACATAGGCTTGGGAAGTGCTTCAGAAGCAGACCAGCCATCCCCACAGCTGGAGCAGTTTTTAGTCCTGCTGGATGTCACCCCATAAAGTCTCTCTGGGTGAGTCTGAACCCTGTGTATTTGTGATAGTGAAGTCCTGCCAGGAGCCAGAGAAGCTGTGGCTCCCGTGTGCCAAAGCTTGGTCCATGCTGGGCTTGGCCCACAGTGGGTGAGAATAGCCAGGGGTGGTTCCACATCAAACCCTTGACCTAGGTTTCTTAATGGATTCATTCTTCCATAAACCACTTCTTAAAAGGCACTACTCTGTGCAACAGGCTTTGCAGTTATGCCGTGAGCCCATCATTTGCAATAATAACCTCAGTGCATTCTGAGTGTTGTGAAAGGCCCTTTGCTTTAGGGAGTCATTTTAAACTCTTTTTGAGAGGCCTTAAAGATTTCTGAACTTTCAAACTAAATTCTTGCGATTGAATATTTATTGTTGAACTCAGCATGAAATATAGAACAAAGCCTAAATCCAGGGATGCTCTTGACTTCAGCAGTAAACACTGACAGGATTTTTAATATATACTGTATTTTAGTGGTGAATGCTTAAAATTCTTCTTGTATTTTGCATCCTCAGCTCTCTCTTTCTCTGCTGTGGTTAGCCCTAGATTCCACATTGGAATGAGAACATGCAGAGATCTAAGACTTATGATAAGCTTAGCCTAGACTGGTCTAATACATGTTTTGTAGAAAAGTATAGATATATTCTGGCAATGCCATGGAGTTTTTTTTCTTTAGCCCTTTAATGTGCAGTTCCATCTGCATGATAAAAAAACTGTAAGGACACAACAGCCAGTGAAATAAGTCTAGCAAATGTAGCAGACAAACCTGTTGCTGATACTACTCAATGCCACGCTGCTCTGTGAAGGCTGGTGCCAGCACAACCACCAACCCAGCGTGCAGTGTCCTGCGGCAGCTTGACAGTGAGGTCAGGAGCTGCGGCCACAGCAATGATGCTCTGACACCATCCTGTGAGCCCCAGAGGCAGAGCTGCCCCAGGGCATGAGCCCTTCTGCTTGGGTCCCTTCCACATGGGATCAATGCACCAGATTGACTCGGCACAAAAAATTTGTGAGAGTATGAAGGTGGGTCCCAGCCCCACAGGGAGGTCCGCAGTGTGGCAGGTGGGCTTTGCTTTTGTGGGAGCCTTTTTGTTACTGAGTGCAGACACTGTAGACCAAGCCAGCCTGTTTGGTCACAGTCTCCATTATGGACCTTTCATGTGCAGGAGCTGCCTCTTCCATTCGTGCTTGCAAGACTTTAACAGGACTCAACCCTCACCTAGATAGAGCCTGCCTGTCCAAGACCACTAATTTCAGTCCATTCTGTCATTGGAAAATTGTTCATTCTCATGGATAAGTCAGAATTAATGTTCTGTGGCGGTGGGAATAGGGTTCAGAACAGGGTCAGTGTGGTGCTGACTGACAGCCTAAGGCTATGGGCCTTGACCTGGGGTCCAGCCTGCCAGGACTACTACAGTTTCCAAGGCACAGTTATTAATTTCTCATATAGTCTGGAGTGTTATCAAGAAATATAAATATACAGGACTTGGGAAAATCCAAAAATCCACAAAATGCCTTTTGTACTGTTTGATACAATCATGTAAATGTTTCTTTCATGTAAAATATCCTTGGTGTTTTGCTGATTCCAAAGAGAAATGCCTTCGAAGCGGTAACTGCAGTAACTAGTCAATAGAATTATAACTGCTTACTGAAAGAAAAAACACACTGTAATGATATAAGGGCAGAGCTGGTTACAAAAAATAGTCTTCATTAGAGTCAAAATGCGACAGATGTGAAACATTATGCTAGTATTTCCTCAAGGGTAGCACTTAAGTAGTTCTTTGCTTACAGAAATGTATCACAGAAGGTTTGTATCAAAGTAATGTTAGCCTAAGTTATTTGTGTAAGAGGCGATAACCATCTCTTTTTGGAATTTCATAGATAGGCTTATCAGATATGAAAAATATGGCACAGAAGTAATGAGAGCCTTCAAAAGATGCTTTTTGTCCCCAGCCCTTTCTCTGGAGAACATAATGTCCTGAGGGGACACTGAAACAACAGTTGTCTGTATTAAGCGAAAAAGCAGATATGTTCAAATTACAGTATTAAAGAAGGTGCACAGCTCACCGTGGTGTGCCTTGTGACCAGCACATTACAATGGGTAACAAACCGAGATCCAAAGGCTCCAGGTTGAGGTTAAGGTGCTTTCCAGCCAGACTTGACCACCGCTGTGTTTGCTGTAGTGTCGGAGCAGCCTTTGGCTGCAGGACTGTGCTGTGCACGAGCCTCTCAGTCTTGCTGTCGTGACTCTGTACCTGGGTTTCCTTTACATTAAAGCTACAACACAAGTGAGCAAATGCCTGCATCTCCTCCTGAAGTGGCAAGCAAATGTGGCTGGTGTCGTGGACACTCTCCGGGAGGAAAGTGATGGCTGCAGGGTCACAAAGGGCTGGTGGTGCAGGAGCACGGAAACCGTGAAGCCCTGGGTCCCCAGAACCTCTCTGCTCCCTCTCCTGAACTGTGTGTGTTGTGGATTCTCCTGGTCCTTGGGCCAGCCAGGACTCTGCTCTCGGCTCTGCTTTCCTCTGCGCCTGAGGCTGAGACCAAAGTGGGGCCTGGGGGGAATTCAGGGATCCAGCTTTCCAGGAGTGAAAGGAAGTTAAAGAAAATGTTCCTCCAGCTCACCCTTTGAGCAAGTGTAAGCAAGGAAAGGGGCAAGTAAAGCATGCTGCATTGCACAAGGCCCGTTTTCAGATGAACACTAGCCATAAAAATGAGTGTTATTTGAAGAACTGTGCGAACTGGTTAACTAAAGATGTCTTGCAAATTGATTTCACTAAGCTGGTTCAAAATCCCCATCAAATCGTGCCCTGAGTTAATATGGAGCTGTCTCATGAATATTAGATTATGCTCACTGAGAATAACTTTAAGCTAAAGTCATTACCTGATCTGAATATGTCTATGCTAGGCTTTATGCCAATTGAATAGTTAATTTTAGTTTAAGAACCAATGATTGGTACAACCTGTGGCCAAAGGCTCTGATCTGCCTGTGGGCAGAGAGAGGTTACGGTTTCCTTTACAGAGGTCTGATGATTTCCATCAATGAATCTGAGATACAAAAAAAGCCACTGAAGAACTCTCTAGAACAGCGACCTCTCACACAAATAGCGTTCCAAAAATTCCCCTGGGGATTTCTGTCCCAAAGGGTTGCAGTTCTTTCTAGTTATGCTGTTTTGTTCAAATAATGTCCTGTGACATCCATGTGTTTTAACATTGAAAGTGTCAGCTGGGGTTAAAACACCTGCTTTTATTTCTAAGCAAGAAGGCAGGACTGGATTTCAGAGATATGAAAAGGCCCTCAGAAATTGATAAAGCTGTTTTGGAGGTAAAGGAGAAATTGCAATGTCTTGAAGATACCATAGAAAGGTGCCCATAGCTTTCCAAAACTTGGTGTGTTTGCATTTGTCCCACTGTCACAACTCTAGGCTATAAGGAGAGCTGAAGCGTGTCTGCAGGGGAATTTCAGGAGAGAAAGGCTTATATCAGGCATTCAGCCTGCACAGTAGTTAAACTGTAACAGTAAAGGAGTTAAGAAAAGCTGAAGTTTAGTAGCTGTTTCCTTTTAGCAGACATGTATCTCCAGGTTAAGCCACTGCTTTGGCATCCAAAAAAAAGCTTTCCAGCAGTCTCACTTAGGTAGCATGGATAACCTTTCTGCATCTGCTCCCTTATACAAAACACAGACAAACTTCCCTTCTCCTAAGCAGACTTGTTTGGTTCTTGAACTGCCTCTTAGGGTTCAAAAATCTTGCCTGGCACCATAAAGACCTGACCTCAGTTCAGGTCTGTGAGTGCTGCTGCAGTGCAAGTAACAGCAGGAACATTTAGCCGTGCTGGCAGTGCAACACTGGCCAACACAGAGGGCAAAGGGAGGACGTTTACCTGACTTCAGAGCCTGATTTTGAGCGTTTCTAAGAAGAACATTCTTAGAAGCCAACCTTATGCTCCAAAAGCACCTATAAATATGTAATAACCAAATTATTTCTTCTTTTTAAATTTTAATGCAAAAGTGTACAAATTTTGTACATTAATGCAAACACATTAAAAGTGCTGGACTAAAAGTACCAGTCCATGATTCTATTAGGCTTTAAAATGGAAATGTGCTGGGCTTTCTTTGAATTTATATTCCAAGTCTTTTCTGAATTCTATAGAAGTTTCCCATAAAAGGGCTTTATTTTCAGCTGTAGTGCCTGGCTTTCCCTGAGAGCACAGTGCAGGAGATGGTTAGGTATGCCATCATACTCAGTTGGTCTTCTTAGCAAATTCTTTTCTAAAAAGAGGTGTCAGATTGTTCAGTGAGCTGAAGTAATCCAGTTGGCAGGAGAGTGACTTAATTCAATAAGCAGAATTTTAAAAACACTGTAGTTCTTTGTTTAACAGCCAGATTCTACAAAATCAGCTCCAGATCTGAAATAATTTCTCTCCCCACCCTCCCTGTACTATCCCCCTTCCATGCTGCATCTCACTCCCTCTCCTCACTGCCTTGTTTTCCCTGGGACCAATCTGCCCTGGAGTTGTTCTGCAGGTCCCCTGTGTCCCCTGTGCCACCCCAGGGTCAGGTCAAGGCACCTGCGCTCTCGGTGTGAGCTCAGGGAGCCAGGCAGCTGAAAAGGACACCGGCATCTCGCTGCCTGGTCCTCCTGTCCTGCTCTGCCTGCCCCGTGCAGTAATTCACTTTGCTCTGAAGGGAGTGCCAGGTGTCTAAAATAAATCCTCAGCGGGAATGTGTGACTCGTGCAGGCAGATGACAGAGCTCCATCTAAATCTATCTATAGACAGGGCTGGGCAGGGAGGACCCACGTCCCTTCAGTGCTGGGGAGGAAGAGTTTACACCCACAGTGCCCTGATGGATTTTACACGGGGGACCTTTTGTAAAGGGTTGAGTTCAATTACCACAAGCAAGGAGCACGCTTTGACCTGTTGTTGCTGTCACACTGTGAACACTGATGACCAGCAAACCCAGTGGAAGTTAAAAACACTCAGGACCTGCAAACACCTTTGCAAGGAAAGAGAAACTCTCTGTGCTGTAGTCCTAAGCCTGCTATATTGCTGCTTCTCGCTCCTAGGAAAATGCCTTGTTCTCTTATCTTTTTCTGATCTTTTTTTTTTTTCTTTTCTTGTCTATTGAGATGAAAACACAGGTTACTTACCTGCTGCTGCTGGCAGTTACTGGTAAGGGTAGGGTGGCTTCACCACTGCTTAGAGATGCTTCTTAACCTTTTCTCTCTTTTTTTTTTTTTTTTTTTTTTTTTTGTCTTTCCAGAGTGCTGTTTGTTTGTGCACTGACCAGGCTCAAGTTTGTGCATTTCATCTCAGCAGCAGCCCTGGAGCTTTTTTCCCAAAGATATTTCTTCCCTTCTCCTTGCCCGTGTTCCTTTTCATACCTTTCCTACTTTGAGAAAAGCATCACAGTTGGTTAGTGCATTCCTCTTTAATGGGGAATATCACTTTGATCTGTATGACTTGAAACCATGCAAAGCTTGCTCCAAAGCATGTCCTGCAGGGAAAGGGCTCTGAGAGTATTGATCACAGCTGGCACGGCCTGAATCTCCTGGGCATTTTCTCTCACAGTGCTCTGCTGGCTTTCCCTTCCTGCGGTGTGTGTCCAGCAGCCAGAGCTGGGAAGACAACCGATGGTGAGGGAAGGTAGAGAACTACCATTCCATCCTGAACATCCCCACTGGGCAGGCAGCTCCCCAGGAGCAGCAGCCGCCTGCTCCAGGTCTTCAGTGCAAACCTGCCCGCAAGCTGCTGTTGGAGGAGCATCCCAGGACAGCACTTGGGAAGGTGGAGGAACAACACAGCCCCCTGTGCTGTCTGGGAAGACTGGTGGCTCTGGGACCACGGCTGATGGAGGATGAAGGTATGCAGCAAGTATTGCTCCTGTCTCAGTCTGGCTCTGTCTCCTGTTTTTCCTTCTTTTCTGCTACCTCCGTTTGATTTATCAATCGCTTTTCATTTCAGGTCTGCTGTTTTCTGGTTGGAGTATTTTTAATAGTCTGCATTATTAAATGGAAAGCAAACTACAGGTGTGGCCATTAATTCTGCTGGGGAAAGGACAGCCTGCCTTCTTCAAGCATCCAAGACCTGCTGCAGAATATGTGAGGTAAAAATAGAAAGCAGAGTACTAAAACAAAGAGGGAGTAAAGATTAACACGGGGGACTTGGTGGCCTAAATATAGACAGTTCTGCCCCTCTCCAGTGACTTACAGTAACAGAGAATATTCTGCAGGCAGCACAAATTGGCCAATACCCAAAATATAGCACAGAGATCTGACAGTAGGGATTGCAGCCATAAAACGTGGCATTCTCTTTGGCACAGCTGTCATATTATACTAAGCCGGTTGCTTCCCTTTAATCCTAATTAATACTCTCTCTTTCCACTCTGAGCCAGGTTCTCTGGTCAGCAGTAATTCCAGGGGGTCTGCTGCTGCTTTCCCCACAGGAGCCTGCTGTCTTCAGGCAGCCTGTTCCTTTGTGCTCCTTCCATGAAGGAACCACTGAAATCATGAATGAAACGTTACTGTTATTAAAGAGAACTCCTGGCATCCACCCCAGCAGAAGAAATCAACGTATCATTCATTAAAGATATCCATACCTAAACAGGGAATACATGCTTGGGGATGGTGGTAGTTCAGGGTTGCCATCAGGGGAGAGGGAGAGGTTCCCCTCTGCTCAGTACAAACTCCTGCCTTGCCTGCCAAAACCATCCAAGCCCCCGAGTTGCCCCAAGGGTGCTTGCTTATCTCCCATGCAGCCTGGGAGAGATGCTGCCCGACCTCTTCCAGCTTGGGCTGCTTTTTGACCCCAAACCACTATGTACAAAACAAATATATTTTTTGGGAGGGAGGGATACAAGCTGAGATCTAGTATCTAGATGCTATGCTTTTTTGGGTAGCACTGATACTCACAGATAGTATTTTATTCTCTGCATTTTTCAAATTGTGTGATTTACTACAGTTTGCAAATACACACAGTAACCAAGAGTTATTAAATGTAGCTGATTTTAAAGGACAATGTGTCTTTAATAAATACTATGTATATGTTATATAAATATAGCTAGTGTTATACCATATATTTTGTAGTTTTAGGTTGCTATTAATGGGGACAAACAACATGTTTGTAGTCTGAGAATACTGAAATGGTTTGATCTCTATTTTTTCTAATTATAGAATTTCATATTTACTCAAAATAGATCTCCATGTGCATGTTATGAAATAATTCATTCCAAACACAAGTACGAGATAAATGCAGTTGGAGCAGATCTTGACTTGCATCAAGAAATCAAAGCAGGCTTGAAGGGAAGGGAGTACTGTATGTCAAACAGCAGTTCTTTAAACATGCCGAAAGGGCTGATGAAAAGATGTGTTTTTGCTTCAATAGAGAAAACTGTTCATGTGTACGTATGATGGACAGTTATAATATTAGAAAGAATTAGAATTAACACACTTTTTCTTATTTCTTGTAGAACATGTATTTCTGTGGAATGGTACCAGCACAGGATGATGCTGTGAGTGGCACTGAGCAGCGTGTGGTCCTCGGCTGGGTGATGTCTTCTGCCCACAGCTTGTGGCCATACCCAAGCAGGGCACGGACCGCAGCTGGCAGGTGTGCTCCATCGTGTGTTACTGTCACTCGGAGATGCCCCGTCTCCCACAAACCCAGTCAGCCAGGGTTTTCCCATCCCACTCACAGCAGGAGAGGGCTGATGGTCCTTCCTGCAGCAGCTGCAAAAGGGTGCTGTGCAGCCTGCAAACGTCCATTTTGGCTGTGCTCCTGCTAGATCCAGGAGGAGGAGCAAGGGGAGAAGGGAAGCTGCCTGCAGCAGCGTGTGGCGAGCTGAATGTCACCAATGAACAAGGAGGGCCCAGTTTAGTGAGCAATCCTCCACCTGCCCTCCTCCTACCAACAGTTGAATGTCTTCAGCACTCCCCCCAGCCCAGGAGCACCCAGTCCCTTTCCTTGGAACTCACTTGTTGACAAAAACACCCTGAAAACATCTCGTTCTGTCTCTGGCTCTCTCATCTGCAGCCCCTTTATGAAGCCCAGTGGTTCCAGCTCATCCACCATCTATTTTGGCACCTGAGGATCTTCCCAGCCCATGCAAAGTGCACAGCTTTGTGGTTGGTAAGTTTTGTGCAGCAGCAGAGTGTCTTACTGGGACTATTGTGTGGGGCAAGATGGGTTCACCATGTGTTGGTAGCTGTGGCATCAGGCAAATTTTTTGTCTATGAAAGGTACCTAATTAAGTCATATTCCTTAAATGTCTCAAGTGGGGTTTCTCAGAAGTTGTCTTTGAGGTGATGCTCGCTGCTGGGAGCAGCTTAGCTCCATGTGCTGCCAAGCAGCCTGGCTGATGGCTGCATGCGAAAGGAGTGTGCGGGAGGCGCAGCTCCCAAGTGCCATGAATCCCAGTGCCTGCTCCTTCTGGGGGGGTACGTTTGGGGAGGGCCTTTTCTCAGGAGAACCACACTTTATCGGGTGAGCAGGAGGACACCCATCTTCACTTCAGCCAAGGAGCAGCAAATCAGTAAATTGAATAATGAAAGTCCAAAACCAGGGCTTTTCTGCTCAGGAGTTCTAGAAGAGCATGAAACCAGCACTGCTCAGCTAACTACAGCGTGGATCTTGCCGTGTAAGTCAGCGCTGGTGGCTGAGAAATGGAAGTCCATAGATGTAGCTAGGCCTTTCAAAAGGCTTCAGAGATAATCCATTGATCTGCTGATTTAATGTCAAGCTTTTTTACCAAACAACCTCTTGGGAACTGCATTGGTGTAATTATTCTCTCTGTTCCTTTATGGTCTGCAAAATGTTGGGAATAGCAAATACTTTCCAGAAGATTGGAAACGTTTTTGAGGTCTGATGCCTCTACTGGAAATCTTTGAAATAGTCTGCAAGAATGTGGTTAAAGTGATACAGTCAGCCCCAAGTACTTCAGTTCTCTTCCCCTGAGGAGCTGATAATGACAGCTCTTGGAGACACTGTTGGGCTGGATGAACCTCAGACAAATTTTATGTCCCTATGTCTTCAACAGTGTCTAAAGCCCAAGGCAGTCTGTGTTCTCCAGAAGAGCTCGGTACAGAGGAGTCACTTTCATCATCTTGATTTGTGCAACATTTCCCCAGTAGAGGTGCAGATCCTTGTGCAATAACGACAGCTTGCAAAAGTTACTTTTTGTGGAAGCTCTAGAAATAATCAACAGATCTCAGTGGTCCAGGGCCATAGGCAGGAGGAGGGAGGAGCAGAGCACTGCTACGCTTTATCTTGATTTGCTTCTATTTATTACATGCCCTCAAAGGACATCCTTGAGCTTTTCCAGTTGTGTTGCCTCTGACAGCTACTCCAAAAGCAACAAATGCATCTAGTAAGCATCTGAATGCCCTGAAAACCAAGAGTTTTATCTTCAACTCAAATCTGGAGCAACTGTAGTGAATACATTCTGATTTTCTAGATTTGATCAGGTGTGTGGCAGATGACTGCTTTGCCCAGTACAGCCTTAATGACTGCAGCCAGGAAGAGCAGCAACAATAGGTTCAGATGACAACAAGTAATGCTTGTTCAGCACAGCCACAGAGACACGTAGCCAGCATTAGTCATCTGGAGCACACAGAAAACCTCGCGAAGCTTCACAGGAGACATTTGGATGTTCCTTGTGCTTCAGAGATGCCTCAGCAGCATCCCTAAAGAAAACACAGTGAAATGAGTAGTTTAATTGTCGGGCAATAGCATGTTTGCCACTGAAGAGTGGATTTCTTCCAGTCTTGAATCTGCTCTTTCATTTTCTCTCTCTAAGCCAACACCTCCCTGTGCTCTGCTCTTGCTGCACTGCTGAGGGACTCCATCCCCCTGCAGTTCACTCCCTTTGTTCCCTGGAAGCACATGCCTTCGGGGACTTTATCACTGCGATCACTATCAATCCTTGCCGGATGCTGCATTCCTCTAGGATAAAGCTTTAGAAGGGCTTTTGTGAGGGTCCATCAATGAGGCAAACAGCTCTGACAGCCCCAAGAGCAGCTGTGCTGAGGCACTGACTTGCTTTCCTCCTCTTTACCAGCTTGTGAGGGCATTTGGCAGCTTCTTCTTTGTTAATTCTTGCCAAAGCTCCCCTTCCTCTCCCAAGCAGGATGGTACAAGAGTTTAAGCTAAATCTTTAAATGGGGTACGGAGGTTTGCTGGCATTTATGTATTTTAAACACAGTTTTAATTATGATTTCAACTCTCTGGCTGGAGCGGAGCACCACATTGGGAACAGTGAGACCGAAGCGCTGAGTGGAGCAAGGCCTTCTGGCAGCAGCCAGGGCGGAGGTGGGACTGTCACCTTTCTGGAGGAGCAGGTAGATGGGTCCCACGTCCACCACCCAGAGCCCACGGGGGCTGGAGTATGTGAGGAAAAAGGATTTGTGCCCAGTTATGGTCCAGTGCACAATGGGAAGTGGAGCTCAGCTCTGGGTGAGGGCTGCCCAGGTGGATGATGCAGAGCTTGGCTCTTCTCAGGTCACCTGCATCAGCCAAAGTTCTCCCCTGCACAGCTGCCCTGGGGGTTAGCAGTAAATGCACTTGCAGTGCATTAAAATTACTTTCTCAGATATATCTGTCAGTATTCATATTTTCCTTAATTAGACCAAGCTCATTTCAGCATATACCTGCCCATTCACATGCATTTGTACACATATCTGACCACAACTGATACCAAATTTGGGTTTGTATAATGATTGTTGTCCAGAGTCTGGAAATACTTGTGAACATTCACAGTCGTGTGCGGGAAAGGAGCCCTGTGCCATGCAAACTCTGCATAACCTTTGTAGTGTCTGGAGCAACAGTAAAGAATTTGGGATTGGGAACTCACCGCATTGTTATTTACTGGTATTGCATTCCTGAGAGGACAAACCAGGGCCTTGTTGTGCTAGGTTCTGTAATCTAAAAAAGCCTTTGCTTTGATGAGTTTATGGGCTAAGTGGCATTGTCTGTTCTCGATTACAAGTTGTTTTTCAGAAATAAGTCCAGTTTATTAAATTAAAATCCCTCCTAAAATAGAAATTTTATTTAGCAAAGTTCCTCTGTGCTTCCATTCTTAGTATAAAACAAATTTATTTACTTCTGTCATTGAAATTGCACATACTAAAGAAGAGCATAAATTTTCTTTAATTTTGTTTTATGTTCTTGTCTAGTTTTGTATGAAAGTTGGGATTATGTGACTGTCTTGTGGCTGTAACACTTGTCAGTTCATTTAAATCAATGTTTTAATTTCTTCTTTATTATCACAAAATTTATTGGTTTGTTACTGATAATACCCAAATTTATAATGCCTGGAAGGAAAAGCTGCTGTGTGACCTCACCTGTAACACTTGACATTGGAGAAATTGCACAGAAAGCAACCACAGAGTGCTGGGTTCACAGGCACTCTGGTTTGTCTGTCTGTTTCAGAGATGATTTTTAGATTGTTTTGCATATCACAATGCAAACATAAAGTAAGCCTTTTTTTGTTTTTTTTGCAAAAGCTTGCAAGTGACTTAGAAATGTAAGAATCTATTGAGAAGTGTATTTGAAAATCTCAGCCATTCTCAGGGCAATGGTGAACAATACAAATTTTGCACAAGCTTGTGCAGAATTGTGAAGATGGGCATCTTGGAATGAAATCATAGAAGGAAAACATGCAGGGATATGGGGCAGGAGGATTCATGGGGCCAGTGAATTGGAGACTTTTACAAAGCCACCTTTCTCTTTCCCCCGTTTCAGTGGGCTTTCATTTAACAAAGAAAGTAGCTGGAAAAATTCCCCAGAAATATTTGACCTTCAAAAAGGCCTCTAAGGCACAATTACCTGATGTTCACTGAACTGGTTCACGTGGTTCCCACTCTAAATGACTTTCTAGGTTCACCCATGTGTGGAAAGGGGTCTGATTATATGGAAGAGGGCAAATGAGAAAAGAAACTTCAGGAAGGAGAGAAATACGCCAGGGAATTTTACTGGTTATGTTTTCTTCAAGGGAAGGAAAGGGCAAATAAACGTAGCCAACTTGAAGTAGCTTTTTGGCTTTGAACTTCAAAAGAAAGTAACATAAGAGAGATGTGGGTTATCAACAGCACTTGATAGAAGCTGTTTCATAGAGTTAGGTAGGAATTGTAGAATACATCATACTTAGCTTTCTTAGCCAGATAACAATTTTTTTTTTCCTGAAGTACAACAAAAATATAACAAAAATCTGGTTTTCCTCCAATGTCTTTCCTTTCCTTCTGCAGATGGTTGCCCTGCACACAGGAGATCAGCTGTCCTGCTATCAGTGTTCATGCCAGGGTCTGGCCATGCCCTCTCTGCAGTAGTTTCAGCTCTTCCCCTGCATTCTCCTGATACTGGAACACAAGTGAGTTATCTAGGGCTGCAATCTCTGTTAGGCTTTAGGGAAAATACTTTTTTTAAGGAAATAAATTCCATGGTTGGCACTAAAGTGCCTCTACCATGCACTCTTTTCAATGGCAGGTATAACCAGGTGCACATAACATTATGTATTGACTTAAATAGTTTAGATTGGCAGAGACACAAAGCAGCATTTCATGTGCTGGCCCTCTGCTCTGAACTGTGAGCAGAATTGCATGGGTGCCCAGAGACGGGCCTGCGCACCGTCTGAAAACAGCAATGCCTGAAAACTTGCAGACTTCTTGAAATGAGGAAATTGGATTTCCATCTTTGATGAGAAAGCACAGCATGCAACAGGAAGTACATCTGTATGGAAACATATTTTAAATAATCTTGAAATTTAAAGACTTTCATGAACGAAAGTAACCCTTTGGTCTGCATTATCTAACAAAAGGAACAAGTTCGCTAAGGCAGGGTGGAGGGACAAGAGCATCAGAGTCATACCTGTACCACTGAAGCAGTTTTTAATTATTCGACCAAGTATCATTGAAAAAGAATTCAGATTTTTACATTTGAGATATTGGGTTGAAAATTGAAATTCTAAATCCAGACAGGTAGCAATCAGAATTTTTGAGTACTCCAGTCTTTCAGTCCTGCTTTATAAAATAGCAGTAACCTCCAGTATCAACTGGGCATCATCAAGGCATTCAATGTCTTATCTAGGAAAAGAAATGACTTTTTGAAAAATCTTCTTATTTAAGCTTCTTCTTTTATATACAATGTATTCTGAGTTTTTTTCCTGCCTACCTAAACTGAGACAAATCCTGCTCAGAGTTGCTCCTTCATTTGATGGAGAACAAACACAGGCACTTTAAGACCCTCTCAGCCTTCAGATCTTACATGAGCACTTATTTGTTATCTGTTTTGGTTTTCCCCCAAAGGACAATTTTACTCCATGAGCTCATGCTGAAAACCAGTAGAGTATTTCCAAAGTCCCATAATTCTGTGTAATCTCGAGTCTAATGCTATGGATCCAAATTTAGACTCAGCATGTTGAGCCCGTGTAGCACCATGTGGAACAATCTCACGTCAATGAGAAGGGTGCAGCAGCTCCAGCCTTTTGGGACAGTTAGATCAAAAGTGAATGGTGATTGAGGAGAGCACTCAAGCTTTCCTCAAGAGTCTGTCACGACAGCTCTCAGACTCCCTCTGACAGCAGCCCCTCTGGAAGGTCAGTTTCATCGCAGCTCATAGCAGCATAAATATGGATGATGCGGAGATCCTCAGGCTTGTGCCTCCTCCTTTTGGAGGCTGAACAATGCACACACTACTGTGCTCCAGAATTCATCCCTGTTCCTGTAATTTGTTTGCATGATCCTTACATTTATGTGTTCATCTTGGTCTACACCGAGTGCACCAAGCCCTGCCAAGCCCACAGCCAAGCTGGTGGATGCCTAAACTTACTGGAGAGACTGTGTGGAAGTTCTCTGCCTTCCTGCAATGCCTGCTGGCTGTTAACAGCTGATCCTGAAAAGGAGCTGACATAAGGGCACTGAGGAGCATGGCTTTACAGAAATGCACTCCCTGCATTTCTGACTAAAGGGTATGTGCTGAGTGGTTAAACTACAGCAGAGAGACGGAAATATTTGAGAGGTTTCTACTGGAGCCTGCTTTTGACTCTCTGTAGCCCTGTTTGGAAAAGGGCTGCAGTTAGTACACGCCTTTAGCTTGAATTTGCACTTCTTCAGTCTGGGAGGAAGAATGGAAGAAATGTTCTGAGAGCAAATTCCATGTACGACTTCTGCCATCTGCTAATAGCATGTGCGAGCAGCTCTGCTGCCAGAAACCGAGGAACAAAGATAACATCGTTGTGGAGAAAATTGCAGTGCTCTGAAAATGAGACTCTTACTCCAGATGACTCGATAGCTCAGCACCCGCTGGGGCTGAGACTGGGGCCAAGTTCCGCTCACTGGCACTTGCATAGACCCAGGGTAATGCCGCTCAAACTCACGTGAGCCCTTACAGGGGCAATGTTGTTCCCGTGAGCCTAAAGAGCAAGTAAGTTTTATAATCCATTTAGTATGATGGCCTTGTTGGAATCCCAGAAATGAGATTACTTAGGGCAGGAAGAAGGACAAAAGCCGAAGAGCTTCTCCACTGAAACCACATACAGGCAACTTGCAGAAAAAAATAATGTGAGGAGTCCAGACAGCAGTGAAATGCCGAGGAAACAGTCGAATGTCTCTTTTTTGCATCAAGTCTCATTTGTGCAACGCACGTCTCGGTGTGTCCTTTAACTCTGGGACAACAGCCACAGCATCCGAGCTGCCCTGGTCCCACGGCGCGAGTGGGAGCCGCTGCCTCCCTCCTGCTGCGCAGCGGGTGCACGGGGCAAGGCGTGATTGTGAAAACCCAGATCTACAGGTGTGGGTTCTGAGCTCTAACGCAGTCTCTCTCCTCGCTGTGCAGATGGCATGATAAAGTCAACTGCACGCAGAGAAATTCCTCGCAGTACCGCTCTTCAAACCCCTCTGCTGCACACTGGTGTGCAACGGCTGGGTAACAGATGAGGCTGGTCATCAGGGACAAAAACAATGAAACGTAAATCGTGCAAGACATGCAGGTAATACGGCAAAAAAGGTCTAAAAATGGGGACAAGATTTTTGTTTGTTTGATACAGCCTATTAGAAAAGACCCAGGTAAACAGCACTGTCTGTAATTGTGCCTGTGATATTTCTGAAAAATGTTATTAGTAGATCTCAGAAGTGTTTGGATTTCAGCGTGGAGCTGGTACAAAGACAGTGTGGTTGCTCTGACAGTCCTCTCGAAGGCAGAACAAAGAGGAAAAAGATCTGTGTTTTGCCTTAGCGGACTGGAGTGTATATTTATACCATGAACTGCTGGAGCAGGAGGGACATGAAATACAAGGAGAGTTTCTGCATGGCTCACACTTTTTGTGTGGCTCCCTTGCCTGCTTGGAAAGCTTCCTTTGTTTTTCAATGGCATCTGTAGCACTGGAAACTGGCACTGAGTTTCCCGCTTGATGTTACATTATGAAATAGTTAATAACATTTTTAGGAAGAGAAGGGAGCTGTTTATAGACAGCTTTTGCATCTTTCATGTTTCTTATTTCCCTGTTGGTGTTAGAGTGATTGTTTGTGACAGTGCTAAAGACTGCAGGACCGGTGTGAGCTGGAGTAACGTGGTCGTGGCAGGTCTCCACGGTGTGATCTAACACACCATCCCTGGCTCTGTGCTCCACGGACACCCAAAGGGTGGGTCAGGCAGCGATGACATACGTGCAGGGAATGCAGAGTTTCTACCAAGGATGTGTAAGCTCCTGGTTCTTGCATCACTCCTAAAATCCTAGTATAATAAATTAATGAAATCCTAAAATAGTATTACAGAGTTTCTCAGGACGGTGCTTACATGTGTTATTACACGTGTTGATGAATCGCACATTCCTTCTGGATTTACAAAAACTTCTCTGGCTGAAATTCTCTCTGTGGGAGATGCAAATTCAGCATTCCTAAATGGTGGCATTTTCTTCTCAACAAAACGAAATGGTCTGGTGACAAGAAGGCACCGAGCAAATCCCCCAGATCTGAAGATGACTTGACTTTTTATTCAAAGCAAGCAGTCATGTCCCTGGAGAGGTGAATTCTTGTGTCTACTCTCCATCCTCTCGACGCTGAGAAGTTGTCTTTTGAAGGACCCCCAACCCTTCATCCCACCAAGCCCCAGGCCTGCTGGTAAGCGAGGGACAAACCAGGCAGGTGGAGTGCTGGTGGCGTGCACGAGGGGCATGGTGGGAATGAATGGGGTCAGGGGAGTGCAGGAGCAGCTGCCACCATGGATGGAGCCTGCGAGGCCAGTGTGAATATCAAGGGGCAAAGAAAGAAGGCAAGGAACAGCACAGTGGAGTAGAAGGAGGTCAAGGAGAGGGCAAGGAGGAGAGGAAAAAGGAGCCCTGTAGTCCAGAGGCAAGGACAGGCGCCAAGGAAAGGGACATGGTCATCATGACATGAATACTGTCCTCTGTTGATGTCGTCCAACCTTTCAGGCTTCACCCCTCCTGTCTGTGCCAAGGCTTTCTTCCTAGAAGTTGTCCCTAGTCCTGCTCCCAGGCTCCCTTACCAGAGCTGAAAGGACATGCTGTGCCACCACTCAAATGCACATCCACCCCTGCATCAGGCTTTTCTTCATCTACCTACCGCCTACTTAATACAGGCAAAGGAGGCTGAAGGATATTAACAACTGTCGCACCGCCAGGTAAATCTGCTGGTTTGAAAACTAATATAATGGCAGAGTATTCTAGGTGTGCAGCTCTTCAAAAGTAAACATCCCTTTACAGCAGGATCATAAAAATCTTTGAGGCACTCAACAGCAAGTTGCCTGTGGCTTTTCCCCCTCGTATCTCCAGAGGTTATTGCTCAATGAGGGAGTATGTGGTGTTTTGTGTCAACCGAGAGGTAATTGTGAGCAACTACTTAAATAGCCCTAATTATGTTTAGAGAAGGCTGTTCCCTGAAAGCAGCTAGAATCTGTGAATAAACATATTGCCACAGGTGACCACCTGATCTGTGCATACGGACCTAAAAAAGGCCATTTTGCTAAGTTTAAATACCTCAAAATAAAGCTGAGCAGACACCAGACGCCAATAGCTGTCCCTGCTCCCTGCAGGCTCCCAAAAGCAGCATTGTACGGGGAGTTTGCAGGGGGGGAGAGTGCAGCTCAGGTCCTTGTGGCATTGCAGATGACCACATAATGTTTAGCCAGCCCGTAATGCGCTCCTGAGGGGACTGTGGGCTTAAAATACAGGCCTGTAAATACCACACAGACAAAGAAAGATGAAGAAGTGACTGGGCCCCATGAACAGGGGGGATGGAGAAACCCAGAAGCTAATTTTGCTTAATCTTTTTGCAAACACAGTCAATGTCTGCCTGAGTTCAGCAGGAGCCCCTGCCTTCACCCGTCCATCCCTGCAGCTCCTGGGTCCCCCTCCCCACCTGTAGCTGCCTTGGCTCCCAGGTCACCCCGGTGAGCAATGCCCAGCGGATGTGAGACCTTGTGGGGCACCTGAAGACGAGCACTCGCTTTCTCTGGACAGGGTGTCTCTCTCCACCAAAGGTCTCTCCACCAAAGGCCATGTCCCTGTCCTGGGAGCCAGGAACAGCACTCGCTTTCTCTGGACAGGGTGTCTCTCCACCAAAGGCCATGTCCCTGGCCTGGGAGCCAGGAACGTGGCCTAGGCAGCCCCTGCCCCCTCCAGCTGTGCCTGAGTATTGGGAGTATCCTGAGGACCAGCAGTACAGTCGCTCATCAGCTCAGCGTGTCTCCGGGAGGTAGGACTGGGTGGCAGAGCCCTCTCCAGCCTCCAGGAGAAGCTTGGTTGAACTCCATCCTGCTCGCCTGTGCCACCAGCCTGGAGAGGAATGGGCTGGGACCGGCTCAGCTCTGCTGAGCTCACCACCTGGCTGTGGAGGTCAGCGAGATATGGGGGGACGTGGAGAAACGGTGTCCTCCAGCACTTGTCTGCAGCAGTTGGGCAGTGAGTGGTGAGCGGGGCTTGGGCGAGTGGGGCTGAGCCCACAGGGTCCAGCTTCCAGCACGGCTGCAGCCCTACACTGCCAGAATGTTTGAAAGAGAAAGTCCGTGATGGAGGGGACAAACGTGAAGCTGTTTAACGTCTGTGAGGGTTGAAGAGTTCACAGTGACAGCTGAGATGACGCCAGCCCCGGCTGTGGCCCCGAGCCCTCTGTGCTCTGCTGGCATTCTCCTCTGCCTGGAGCGAGCGCCTGCCTGCCTCACCCCGCCATTAACCATGTGTGGCTTCAGCGTCACTTAAAATTAACAGCTCTGCACAAAACCGGCACATAATTATTATATATTATTACATGGAAATGCAGTAGGTCTAGAAATAAACTCTGTGCCTTTTTGAATTAACCTGGCGACTCTCTGAAGAGCTAGGAAAAAAAAAAATCTTAATATTTGTGGTAGTCAGTCACGTTTTCTTCCTCTTTGTTCTGTTTTGATCAATAGTTGCTTTCGGCGCTCTTTGTGCACAGCCGCGGGAGGAGGCGTGTTCGGAGCCCCAGCTCCCTTCCCCGGGATGCCGAGGAGACACCACCTCCACCATCGTGACGCCAGTTGTCTCACAAGAAGTTCCTGGCATGGTCTCGTACAAGACAGGGTCCCCCACTGAAATGAGGGTGAGCTGCACTACGTGGAGTGATGGCTGAGCTTACCCAGCATTAGGCTGTTCCAGTCTGCTGCCTCACACACAAGAAGTCCAGAATTTGGTGAGCTTTCACATATATATATATTTTTTTTAACACTTTTAAAAGAAGCCCATAGGAATACAATTTAAAATAAACTGTAGGCATAATTTTTTGGTGGCAAACTCCTGAAAAGATTTTACGGAATTGTTTTAGAGCAATTGTGGAATTACAGTTGAGGTAACTTAGGAAAGAGATATAGATGGACGGGAAAGAACAGTGTATCCATTCAAATAATAATAAGTTGGGAATGAGAATAAAGGTAAGTTTTAGAGAGATGAATAATACGTACCAGAGAGATGTAGGATTGGCACCAGTCTTCTGGATAATCAGAGTTTGTTGGGGTCTTTGGTCGGGGCAGCCCTTGCACCTGGAAAAGCCACAGGGTATGGTAGCAGATGGGGGCTGGTTTCAGATGGGCACGGAGCTGTGCTGGTCTGTGTTACACAGGCTGCACTCGGGCTCAGGGCCTTCACAGCCCTGCTGCCTCCTGCTTACGGGTCCAGGGGACTCCAGTATCACCTTGGGCTAGAGGGAGAAAAAGTCCATTGAACCACATTGCCTCTTTGCAGCAAAACCCAGAAGGATGACTCGCACCTGAAATCTGAGGGGTTTCCCAACAACTTCCAAACAATCCCTTCATTTCATGCCTGGACATCAATCAGTGAATTTCCAAGATAACAGGTTAACAGAGACACAATATCACAATATCTGGTGTTTCCTGTGCAGAGCTTTGTGTTCATGCCACCAGACAGGGGAACAGGTACTGTGTGACTGTCACTGCCTGAAATCTGTGCCATCAGGGGACAGCTGACTCTCTAGTTGAAACTTTGTGAAACTATAATGAAAACCAGACAGAATACCAGAACATAGTAACATCCAGTGAGGGTGCAGCCATGAACCCAACGTGCTAAGGCAGTCGCTGCTTAAATAAGGGTACCATTCAGCGGGGTGTCTTTTCTGATGCTATTCCTGAGACCAGAGACCCAGGACGTTAGAGTCAGCGTATGAAAGCAGATCTGTCTCCCTGCTTGTTTACACAGACTCTCACATCCGTGAGCGTCAGTGATCACTTGGAGCAGTGGCTCTAAATATCCACAACCAGCACCACATCCCTCTTTCAGGGAAGTGTTTTGAAACAGTCATCCAGACCTTCTCAGTGAGGAGCAACTATTATCAGAAAGAGAATAGCAACACAAAACTAGAAAAAAGCAAGCTACGGTGGAACAGGCAGACTGCCTGAGTTTTCAGCTGCATGTCAGAGATTTATCGTGCTCTTAACTGAGTCTCAGCTACGTTTCTGCAGGCAGAAGGCTTCAATAGGTTTCAATGGCTTGTACTTCTTACAGTTTTAGTTTTGGGGTAGCAGCTGTAGCTGTCTCAGCAACAGCAAGGCCACACGGTGAAGAGCTGGATTGCTCTAACATGCCTCTTCCTTCTTTGTGCATTCTTTGAACCCAACCCAGAGATGTTTATTGCTGCCTGATCCTCACTGGGTCCCTCCTAGAGATCAGTCTTGTTTTTCTTCCATGGCTTCTCTATAATTATAGAGCGTGAAGCCAGTAAATGGGATACAGGATTGCTGCTGGCCAGTTCCCCATGCTGGAGACGTGCATGCAGAGGCAGAGCTGTTCATACTGACTCTTGTGAAGGGCGGTATTCAGTTCCGTAGTAAATCTATCATGGTGCAGTTGGAGGGTGATTCATGTGCAGTGGTGGACTGAACTGCACGCCCAAAGCTTTCACGACCACAGGCTGCCTTCCACATCACTGTCTCGGAGGCTGCTGGCCCTAAAGCAAGAACAGGCGAGTAGGACACACAGCAGCCTCTGTAAAGCCACACTTTCTAGTCTAGTACGATGTAATACAGACCATACTGCATCAGACCAAAGCTGCTGTTAGTCTGGTGTCCTCTCTCACAACCCAGCTGCAAGCAGATATCTGCAAAACCAGTAAGAAAATGGCAAACATCTGCCATCGTCCCCCCGCTAATATTCCAGCCTTTAATTTTTTCAGTTCAGGGGATTTTATGAGCTGGTTGTGGTCTCTTTGGTAATTCCCACTGGTTCTCTTCTATGTACTTGACCATTTTTCCCTTGAGTCCCTCAGAATTTTTGTATGTTTTTGCAAATGCCCTTTGCAAAGCATTCTGCAAGGCTAGTGTTGCTGTATGAGGAATGATCCTTTGACTTGCTTTGAACCTGGTTCTTATGATCCTTTGCTATTTGTAGGCACCCTTATCCACCCTGTTTGATGGCTTCCAGCAAGTTCCCTTTCTCTGAATCTTCTCCAGTTCCAATCTATCTGTTGGAGATGAGGCAACCAGAACTGCTCAATGTATGGCTGAACCCTGGATTTGTACCCTGCCGTAACTGTCTTCTGGTTTGGTCCCCTTTTGGTCCCCTAATAATTGCCAGTGTTAAATTTGTTGGGGTTTTTTGACCACTGAGCTGATATTTTCACACTATCTAGCACAAGCTCAAGGCCTCACTCCTGTGTGGTAATGGTCAGCTAATTTTTCATAGGTGAAACTACATTTTTTTCTAGTTACATCACTTTACAGTTATATACATTAAATATAAATTGCTGTTGCATTGTCCTGTACTCAGTTTTGCTAGGGTCTTACGCATTTCTTCATAGTCAACTCTTGCTACTGCAATATATTGAAATAAGAGCTAGTAATCTTTAATGCTCTGGGCTATAAGTTGCACTGAGTCAGGAGCTGCTGGAAGTCCTGTTCAGCATTTTCCCCCCAGGGTTACCAACATCCAAGAGAGTCAAGGCAGGAAACTGGAGATGGTTGCAGCATCACTCATCTCAGTTCAATTTACTGTCAGATGTAAATCAATGCTTTATCACTGTGATAAAAATCTCTGTGATCTGCGATGGATAAAGCTGTCTGGTCAGGCCAAGTAAACAATTTTAAACCAGTCATTAGAATCCCCTTTTTCACCAAAGGAGGTGATTTTGTAATTATTGTGTATACTAGATCCCACCAGGAAACCATTATCCTATAATGTTAGCTGCAACACTAAATTTACTTTGGCCTTTGCTAGAGTGCGTGGTGTTAGTTTGCTGCATTCTCCCATCATGAACTGCACTGACACGTAACATACAAAGCTAAGTTTCTTTGCACTGTTATGTGAACAAAAAAGATTAGAGTAGCATCTTTTTCAAGAATGATGAGCAGGCATCTTTACTCAGATGAAGACGGGAAGTCCTGTGGTTAGACACCCACTTAGGAGCCACAGGATTTGGCTTGTTTCCATTACTGAACAGATTTTTTACATTATCTTTGAGCCCCAGCTTCCCCATGCAGGAATTTTGTGAAGTTCAAGTGATTCATATTTCCTAAATTGATTTCTCTCTTCCTCCTATAACCATTTTGGCTGACTAGGCTTGTTCTTCTTCTCTTGCGACAATTAGATTTAAATATGAGTCAACCTGGAAGAAATCAGCAGCACAGGATGCACTAGCTTTTACCTCTAAGTGCATACATTTAAAGAATTAGAGTTTAATTGTGGTGTTACTGCTCTGCCCACATACAAGGTCAACTTCAATTTTCTCAGCTGACACAATTCAGTTCAGAAAAGCCAGGGACTCGGCAGACAACTGCTGTGATGACGCTCATTTTCCTCTTGGATAGGGATATGCAAAGTTCCCGTAAAGGAATGACTAACATGCTTTTCTCCTGCTGCATTACAGCAGCTTTCCAAGCATCAACCTGTGAAAACAAAAGAACTTGTGAGACAAATACCATGAGCCTCTAGACCCTTCACTTGCTCCCAGAAAACTTTATTACTGACATACACAGTGATGAGAAGCTCCTTTTCATTCCTCCTGGCACATATACTGAAGGATATGATTCAGAGATGGCCTCTTATTGTGGACAGGATGGCATTTCTTAGCTTTCACAATAACCAGACATTAAAATATAGATGACTGTACCACAGCAGCCCTTTTTTTTGACTGGCAATGATAATAACTTGGCACATACCTTGCGTTTCCAAGAAAAAGCCCGTGTTGCATTACCCCAGAACAGAGTACAGCATGTGCTTCCCCTTCCTCCTGATGTGCCCATTTGCCACCACACTGTGCAATGCAGGGCAGGCACTTGCAGTGACTCTGGGTACTGCAGTGGGGAGAAACATGCCCAAGAGGCCGTTGGCACCCTACACTCAATGCCTCCACACCAGCAGACCTGGGTTAGTGACAAGACAGATAAAAGAATAAGGCCCAAAGTTGGCAGACATCCAGTGCAACCACTGAAGCTGTCCGCTTTCAGTAGCTGAATCTGGCTGGCTTTTTTAAGGAATCAAAAATCCTGTCTGGTAGTAAACATCTTCAGTTACTGTACAAAAAAAAGAGAAAAAAAACCAACGAAACAACAATCATCTAGTCCAGTCTTTGGGATGGAAAATCTCGAAAGTCTAGATGAGGTGGACGCAGCATATCTCCTGCCTGGAATACCTGGGAGTGTTTGTTGGTGGCGTGCCTGATCATGTACTGCCGGTCGGACACGGGGCCAAGCCCACAGCCGTTCCCCCGCCAGCTGCTTGATCCCTGTCCCTCCTCCTGGCTGCGGAAGAAGCAGGTGACGCCTGGGTGGGACAACTGCCAGGCGTTAGGAAAGACCACTTACACCTATGGTTCATTTCCCAGGCAAGGCATACCTTGTTCCCAGGTGCGAAGCACTGATTGCGGCCTGTGTGTCTACCAGTGCCTGACTGTTCTCAGGAGTGTGCTACAGCACTTCACGGCAGCGCGGGACCACCAAAGGGGACTGTGAAAGCCAACCAAGCAAATAAGGTGAATGACACCAAACTTTCTGGAGGGAAGCAACTTTGCTGCAATGTTGACCATCGATACTTCAGACTCATTCCTTGCAGCGAGGCAATGTGGGCAGGCAGAGCAGTGTTCAGCAATGTATGGCCGAAGCGCATACAGTGAAGAAAGAGCAACTCATGTTGCAGGCGTGAAAAGGCAGGTTCAGATCCTGCCACAGCTTTGACTTGCAATCTGAC